ATATAAATTTAAATCTAAAATAACGGCATTAAACGAGTACTTATAGCAGTAGCTTAGAGATATATGAAATATAATACAACACAAGTTTATTGTTTCGAATATTCGAATAATCTTTAAGGAATAAAGCTTATTTCAAATTATGTTATCCGATATAACATAACTTGGGGCAGTTTAAGAATTATAAACCGCTAAGCGGTTTATAGAAAAGTTTAAGTGTCCAAAGTTATGCTATATCGGATAACATAGGTTGAAATAAGCTCTATTCATTATAATTTAATTTCAGTGAAGACAATGAGAAAATTTTCCTCCAAAAAAGGCTTCAAATTCAGCAAATTTTAAAAATAACGTCAAGCGGAGTAATTGAGAAGTCGAAAATAAATTCAATGCATGCTTGGTGTTGTTTTCATGTATTTTTATACTGCTGTCTTCCCAGACACTGCATGGAAATACCTTTTTATTTACTTGTAGATATTTATAAATCTATGTTGGGTTAATTCCTTTATAACTTGAAGTTTCCACAAGAGATTTATTTTACTGTGGCTTCATCAGTCCTAGAAAAAAAAATCATCAGTACACATGTACAATGGATTAAGCTGTTTTATATCTTCGGAGTACAGGTGTTTCGGGTCAAGACCCTCCCCTCAGTATGTAGTTTACTTACATCACAAAAATTCAAAAAGATCATTTCCAACAATGAAAGCCTCTCCATCAAAAAAGAAGAAACAGATTTATGACATGGAAAATTTCTAAATAATATCAACTTTTTTTTATTAGAAAAAGGGAAATCTGTGAAGCATCAGTCCCGCCCCTTGACTTTCTTTGGGGGGTGGGGGGGGGTGGGGGGGTTAGAATATGCTATCAATTTGGTCCACAGATAACATTCATAATTTATTTATTTATTGATCATATAGAGTAACTCATCTTCAGGCAAAAACGAATTAGTATGTTAAATGAAAATATTTGGGATAATCTGGGGTTAATACACATACATGTGTATATGTTAAGATACAAGAAGAGTGCTAATGACGGGTCTGAATTGCATATTTCCCCACGCTTGAAATGCATGTCTACTGTACGATAAATATAAAAGGCGAAGCTCCTTGTCCAGAAGCGATTTATTTGCCCCTTCAGAAAAACAGTAAATAGGTATACATGTATCTACATTTAAGCATAGTTTTTTACGACAACAATATATCAAAAGTATGACCCCCCCCCCCCCCCCCCCCCCCCCCAAAAAAAAAGAACTATAAACAACATACCTGAAAACATTTGACCAAAAAATGAGATGGTTGAAGAAGGTTACAACAGAGTTTTTCAACCAAATTTTATTAACACATTAGCAAATATAACTACGATTTAACTATTCTGCAACAAAAAGTTGGAAGGCTACTTCATATTACGTGCCTGTTTCGTGAAATATATTTCAAAAGTGTTATTCCATGTAAGAACAGGTCTGAAGTTCTAATTATAATTAAGAACTATAAAAAATTCACAAAGAAAAATATTCAAATACCATGCCCTCATCCCGCAATATATTCTTTGGAAGAGTTTTTTTATGTTATGTGTGAAGAAAAGTGGCAAAGCTGAAATTCCCTCCCACTTTATATTTGTAGTTATTTTTTTCTTCCGATCGACATTAGCTGCCTAATGGTATTTTATATAAAATGCTGAAATTTTTGGAATATACCATTGCTCATTCGTGCAGAAACGATATCAAATGTACATGAAATAATGTTTTTGAAGTGCTAGTATATACTCATGTACCTCACAATAGGTACGATAAATACATGATTTTTTTACTTGTACATATTGCTTTTATTGATTATTATTTATGTTATATTTTACTATAATTATAAAATTATTAAAATAATTGTAAAAAAGCATTAAGCAAAGAAGCGTCGAAATTTAAAATGATAGAACTATTCAATTGTGCGACTCCTCCATACGTTGCGTTTTTCCAGAAACAACTCCCCCCTGTGTTACCCTTACTGTCTGAAGAGAAAATGTCTTAATTATTATTTTATTAGGTCTAGACAAGTTTTAATTGTTGCATTTGAAAGATTAACGTTTGCTTTTGCTGTTTTAACTGTCATAATCCCCACACAAGCCGTAGATTGTGCAAATCATGCATGTTTTAACCACTCGATCAACGTTAGTAGGAAATCTCTCGAATAGCTTCGAAGTGTTTGAGAAAACTAGACGTATATGCTAGCCGGACAAATGACCAAGACAAAGCTCGACTATTGCTACCTTTCGTGGGCTATATATTTTCATGAATACATCTTACATATACCGAAATAAGATGTAACACGCATTTCTTCCGACTTCGAAGCGGTGAAAATCTACTCCCCCAGACGTTGAAAACAACTCCCCCATATATTTTAGCGACTCCCTCGCGTTATCCGTTGTATACGGTGAAATGAAAGTTTACAGAAAACTTGCACGTATTTTGTGTGTCTTTGACTCCGCCCCCGGCCAATAAGCTTTAAATAAAATCAGCCAATGAAACGAGATGTTTGTTTACACCGATGAGAATGTTTGATCCAAATAAAGAGGGAAAAGAAACACCTTGGTGCTATACATCCTTTTTAGATATTGATTTCAAATTTTAGTTCAAATATAAGAAATTTAAGAAATTGATGTCTAGTTTGTTGGAAATGCCAGGGATATCAACAGAAGTTGGAAACGTGAGATATCGTATCTTTTTATACCCTCGTAAACAGAGTTTAGGAGTATATAGTTTTTGTAATATCTGTCTTTCTTTCTGGCGGTCTGTCTGTCCGCAAAAACTTTAACCTTGTCAACAACTTTTGACTGGGTGGGACTAGGGCTTTCATATTACACGTGTATTTCTTGTGAAAAAACCTTTGTTTGGTTACCACCAAAATTGACCTCTTGACCGTGGATTTTTACACACTTTTACACCAAAATTCCAAACTTTAACCTTGATCATAACTTTTGAACAGTGGGGGTTAGAGCTTTGAAACTTCACATATGTAATTCTTGTGATAAGACATTTCACTGGATACCAACAACTTTGACTTTCGACATTTACCTTTACCTTGGAGAATTACCTATTTTTCAAAAAAAAAACAAAACATTGGCCATAACTTTGGAATCGCTAGGTTATTAGATTGAATCTTTCATTGGATACCGAAAACTTTGACCTTTTGACCTTGGAGATAGTCCTACTTTTGACAAAACTATATTATGGGTTATATACTGAAAGGAAAAAGAAACGCAGGGTAGCATAATATTCGAAAACTTTTTGACCGCATGACTGAAAATTACGAAAATTGGTCAGATGAAAAATTTAGTTACTATGCACCAAAATCAGTGTTCAGAATTACTCACCTTAAAATGCATGACGTCATGTAGGGAAAACGGTAAAAAGCCCAAAACACGTGCAATTTGATAACGATGAGTTTGTCAACAAATCTTGTTGCACCATTTGATGCACCTGAGGTATACACATTGTTTTTCAATATTTAGAGACGATATAAATTTCTTGCAATCTTAGTACAGTTTACGAAAGTTCAGTGGGGTCTGATTTTCGAATTGCCCAATTATTGAAAAAGGCAACAATGGGTAACTAAGCAGTTTCTTGTTAATTTTCCCCCATAAAACTTGTTACCCGTTGTCAGAGAGGGTCTAGAATGGTTTTCAATTCACCGTGACGATGACGTTAACGCGAAACAGAGCCATGTTACGAGCGGGTTATTCGTTCTGCCACATCTTAAATCGCAATCCTACTACCACAAAAACCGCCTTTTATACAGTAGACTATTCTAGTTATTACATTCACACAAAAAATTAAAGAGAACAATTCTGCAATTTGGTTTTTAGAGCAAGTCAACTTACTGTTGTGTTCCTCTCACTCACGCATGCGCGCGTTGCATGACTAATTTTTTGCCTGGTTACCGATGCCCAATATAGCCAGGGTTAAAAAGATAATCACTATGATGAATTCCATGCAAAGGAGAAATAACGCTCATGACAGATATGCAGGAGAGTCATTGTAGATAATGACAGTTTTCGATTTTCACTTTTGGGGGGTATCGTCATATGAGCTTCAATAACTCAAGAATTATTAGACAAAATCAAATGAAATTTTTGTTATATCTTTTTGAAAGATGATTTTAAAAGTTAGATAGGAGTACTGAAAAAAATTGAAAGAAAATAAATTTAATTCACCTCAAAAGTTTACCCTGCGTTTCTTTTCCTTTCAGTATATTTTTCAGATATGTATTATTTGTGACAAGTCCTCCCATTGGATACAAGCAAGCATGGCCCTTTGACCTTGACCCTGGAGTCTGACCTATTTTTCAAAAACTTTAACCTTGCCAATAACTTTTGAACAGATAGAGATACAGCTTTTCATATATGTAATCCTTGTATATGTAATATAATCTTTTTTACAAGGTCTTTCTTAAGAAACCAACATTTACCCTTTGACCTTGACCCAAGACTTTGACCTACCTTTAAAAATTGTCAACTTTGGCAATAACTTTTTAACAGTAGGGCAAGGGTTTCATATTTCATAATTGTATTTCCTGTGAGAAAGCCCTACATCGGATATCAACGTTAGATTTGCATTTGAAAAAAAACATGTTCTCTTTGTTGACATACGGGGACGGCTGTGTTTTACAAACACATCTTTTTCCTATTAATTGTAAGTCCACTATTTTTACACTAAATGACGAGGGATTTTCCCGTTATTTCCCGATCGTGACAAGGAGTAAACGGCAGGTAGACCTGTCGGCAGGGGATGCTCACTCCACCATGGCAACTGATCCCACATTTGATGTTTGCAGGTCCATGTTTGCTCAGGTCCTTTTTTGTATTTTTTTTTTACTTTTTGATCTTGAATACTGTTTGTTTTATTCATATGGTTTATACATAACGGCTTTCGCCTTAATTGGTGTAAAAGGTAAAGATAATTTAGGTCTTAACTTTTTTCTTCACAAACTTCATTGATATTGAAACATTTTCTTTTTTAGTGCAACATGATGCTGAAGAAGACCTTATCCAAAGTTCAAACTAGTCTCGACAGGCATCCAAAGACTTGTTTGCAAACATACATTCCAAACAAGAATGTGGACATTGAATGGATAATAAATGATCTAAAAAAACATTTTGGAATAGAATGTGAAATGGAATTCTTATCGTCCTTACCGACTTATTCTTCCTCACCAGATATGAGGTCTGAATTGATCAATATTTTCTGTGGAAATAAAAGACAATTGATTTTTCTTGACCCTGAACAACTAGAGGAAGTCACGCTGAGCATACTGGAATCAGTCATTTTGTTTTCATTCGGTTCTTATGGAAATATACGTCCAATAATAATTGTTTTATTGAAACCAATTCTTCCAGAATTAGAAGTTTTGCATCCAATTCTGAGTGTGATCAAAGCCGTGGGAAATTGCATTGAATTCAATCGGAATAAGGATATTGCTTGTAGCATATCAAATTCTTTTAAATGTGATATAACGACAGAGGAAACAGGTATTTTTTTTAAATACATTCCCGTCTTAAATAACTTTCTAGTCTACTCTGTTTTTCCTTTCTTGATCATTGTAAAATTATTAGTTGCAAATCTAGAAGAGATTATATTTAATTTAAAAAAAAGAAACTATAAAAAGAAATATAGTTCTTTGTGATAGAGATAAGACATTTCAGAGTGTATTTAAAGTCAATGTTGAAGAAAAAACAAAAAATTTAACCAATATTCATTCGTTATATTACGGAATATAGCAAATAATTGATCGTAAATAAAAATTAAACAATGATGCACCTTCGTACATCTCACAGGTGTAAATGTCAGAGCTTCTCGCATAAGTCCATTAGCTGACCTGCGCTGAAAAATCAAGGAGTTATTTTATCACCTTCTGTCCGCCGTCCGTTTTTCTATTCGTCCGTCTGTCTAACTGTCTGTCCAACCACTGGGCTAACTTTAACCAAAACTTTAAAGCAGCTTTAACTTTTCTATCGTCACTTTCCTTACTTATGTAGCAATATATCTTAATCACCTGCATACGGAGTATATATATCTCAGTTGATTCGACACGCAAGAGCAAGCTGTACGTATGAACAATTTCCAAAACGAGGTAAATTATTGATAAGCAAGTTGATGAAACAAGAATAACAGCAATCTCGTTTAAAGTCATCATTCCTTAAGTTCTATAATCGATACAATGACCTTGTAAGCAAATACAATTTATCATTGAGTCAAAAGCTGACTGACGTTTTTCATACTAATACTGGTGTGAACGGTCGTCAGGGGAGGTCCTTGTTTGCTCTACTCATATTTGTATTGTGTTATGGACTTTGATATTGAAAACTTTTCGTAATCTCCATATCCTTCCTTTGAGTTAAGGGGGTTCACAATTGTAAAAATGAAACATCACACCCTCTGTTCATGGGGAAATAATTAAGAAAAAGTGAAAAACCTTTGGGGTCTTTTTAAAAAAGATTCTCAAAAACCACATACCCTTAAATAATTAACTTATTTGAAACAACACCATGGGTCGGTTGGATTTATAATTTGGTTTCTTTTTTACGTATGGATATATGGAAATGTTTTTAAAATATTCCTCTCAAGAACAGTATAAAGCTGTCATTTGTCATATTGATGTCCTCAGGCAGTGAAATTTTAGTTTGTTCCAATCATGTACTTCGGTGTTAGTGTACGATGATAGACCAAAGATTTACATCGGATTGCGCGCTAAGTATGGTAATCAAGCAAAAAGACTACTTCAGAAAAACAGCCCACTTACAATCATGCAATATAAGTTCCACGGTACATGAAAACATAATATAATAAGTAACAGCTCTACTGTAAATGCTGAACGTAAATAATTTGATATAAGAGACCCAAGGGCCTGAGCAGTGACATAAGCAAAATACATGTAAAACAAACAAAATACCGGCGAGTGTAATCTGGTTCCCATTGTAAAATTTAAAAAGCTGTAATTTTACTCAAAATCATGGAAGTGAAACAAAATGAAACTTGATATGCATCTCATCAAGATATACTCATGTACAAAAAAATTATGTTAACATGCAAGATAATTATGTAAACATGCGACTTATCTATGTTTACATGCAAAATAATTATGTTAACATGCAAAATATGCATGCTGATATGCAACCTATGATCTTGCATGTTGACATAAATATGATCTTTTTATTTAAAAATATACATTGTAACTCGTAGGTTCAGATGTATATGTCGCATAAATAAGTAGCATGTTAACAGAATTATCTTGCATGTCTACATAATTATTTCAGCATGTTAACATAAGTATCTTGCATGTAAACATACTAGTGAATATATTGCATGTCTACATAATTATTTCGCTTGTCAATATAAGTAACCCTCATTTTTTTCATAATTATTTTGCATCTTGCATCTAAGATGTCAGATACGAGCGTCAGTACGGGATTTTACCCATTTTAAAATCAGATTCTTGAAAGATTTGTAAGTTGCGTGTCAAAATAATTATCTTGCTTGTTGACATAATATTCTTACATGTACATGTTAACATAATTTATCTTGCATGTATGGGGCAAAAAATGCCACCATAGTGAACAGTACTTATAATTATAAAATCCATGCAGCTAGTACTCCATTGAAATATCGTTTGCATCAATAATCATACCTTGCGTATTCATTCAATTAATCTTTTTCATATGAGTAATAAATTATGTTAGAAAGTCACAGCTCGAACTTTATTCCATTAGAAACAATTAAACTCATTTGTCATGTCCATTCATCGTTTAACCGAACTATTTCGTACCAAAAATGCATTGTGACGTTGTCATCTCGTTTATTTTTTACTAGAGAAACTGTTCATCGTGACATCATGTTATTTAGCATGATTCAGCATGGTGAACAAGAAGGATATGGAGATAACGAACAGTATTCAGTCTCAAAGTCCATAAAACAATACAAAATAAGAGCAGAGCAAATACGGACTCCTTAAACATCCCTTAACATCAGAGGTTGGATCAGGTGCCATGGAGGAGTGAGCATCCCCTGCCTACCGATCGTCAATTCAGTGTACAAATAATGGACTAACAATTGGTATGAAAAACGTCAGTCAGCAGTTGACTCAATGATAAGTTGTATTTGCTGACAATGTCATTGTATCGACCATAGAACTTACATGTACGAAATTATGACTTTAAACGAGACTGCTGATATTCTTGTTTCATTAACTTGCTTGTCAATAAAATACAAAAATAAAATCCTGATAACGAATTTTAAGAAATTATTCAAAGAATTAAATTCGTGAAAAGAAAATCGACAATTCGTTATATATTATTATCGAATTAAAAAAAATTAAAGGGTCCTAAATGGGCTTCCATAGAAATCAGAAGCTCATACATCTTTTTAATATCAATTTAAGAGTAACTGAGGTTACAATCAGAATGTTGTGAAGAAAAACAAAATAACTTTGCAAATGACAAGTGAAAAGATAAAAATATTTACGAGTTCAATGATGAAATAACGCCTGAACTTTAATTTGAATTATTTTGTCATGTGGAATGGTTGTATAGAGTGCTGAAAAGTCACACATTTTGATGCAAAGCCATATCATTCTAAATTAGATAAAATGAATACATGTAACTAAGTATTAATTTTCCTTAATACATTCCAAAGAAATATTCTCTCGCATGTTCCAGTCTTACGATGGCTTGTATATGAAAATGAAATTTTTGAAATATGATATGAATTTTTTTTTTAATTCGTTGCCATGAAATAAAAATTTGTGGGAATGAAATAAAATTCGTGGCCACGAAATAAAATTTGTGGGAACGAAATAAAAAGTCAGGGCCACGAAATAAAATTCGTGGACATGAAATAAAATTTGTGGCCACGAATAAAAATTAGTGGGAACGAAGTAAAATTCGTGGCTACGAAATAAATCTAAAGAATCTAGTGTTTTGACAGATAGGGTTCGTAATTTAAACGCCAATGTGTGCATTGGAAACACATCTCCTGTAGCGAGATCATTTCGCTAAAGCGCGATTATCCCTCTTTAGCGGAAGAAAAAGCATTACCATAAACGGGTATTTTGTTTCCTTATAAAATAATCAAAAATTTCGTGCGTATCGAAAATCCTGGAGAAAGCTGAATTGAAGCGTGAATTACTACACAAAAACTGACAATATTGGCTAGAAATTTAAGACAATCACTGTTGCGTGAGAGAATAGAAGGCTGAAATCCACGTGTAAATCGTGACTTTTTAGCAAAGGTTTCAAGATTTACAGTCATATATATTTATGAAGCATATAAAATATTTATAGATATCCAAATTCTGTTTGTTAGGGTCTTAGCTTTCCATTCTTGTACAAAAGTTTAAAATAATGTTCTTCAGAAACCCATGCTATTTGCTTAAATATTTGATCTTTGGTTGACGCTTAGAAGTATGGAAGCGCAACAGAGTTGTGACATTTGTGGAAAGGTCATTTGAAAAAAAAAACAAGTATAAATTGAGACCAGGCAAAAGCTAGCAGCCAATAAGAGCAGCCACTTAGCCCGTAGAAGCTAGCAGTCGATAAGGAAATTTATCAAAGAACTGAGAGTACTCAGACGCAGTACTGTTTTTAATTCGTGATTTTAGATAATTAATGGTTAATGATCAATTGAGATGTGTAATGAATATGGATAAACCATAATTAATTTAATAGAATATTGAAAACAAATTCATAAAAAAGGTCTATATTGAGTCTTACCGATATTGACATAGTACTAATGTTGTTATGAACTTGTAAATTCAGGAAAGCATGATTCAACGGCGTCGGAAAATTGGAAAAATAGGCAAGAGGGGTGCGAATTGAAAGAGAAAAAAATTCAATCTGCAAAAAATTGACAAAAAATAAGAGAATTTGACCATTGTCCAAACCTGAAAATCCTAGTTTTTGCGGGTAGAGGAATGGGGGTGTAGGTTCGAACTTTTTTTCAGTTACCACTTACCCTTCTTTTCATTAACACTAAAACGTGTCTGTTGAAAGTGAAAAGCATGTTACCTTGAATTACTCTTTATAACTAAACGAAATAGTAGCGAAAAAACGCGAAATTTTAATTATAATTTAAAGAAGTATGCCCTAAGAATTCGTATTTTAATGACATCAATTCTAAACGTTTTTACCCGGTGGCAATGAACGGTTCTTCGTTTGAGGACACTTTAATTGCGTTTGAAACATATGTTTGGATCCTGCATAAGTTTACACAGCTAATTGTGCCACGTACGTGTTACATATGGTTGCACATAACACATGTATCACGTATGTGAAATGTACGTATCACATACGTATATTACAAACATATGTTTCACGTATGTGGTACAACGTACGTATAACATATGTGTGACTACATACGTTTCACATAACGTACGTTAAACGTATGTTTGGAATACACGTATGTGAAACGTACGTGTAACATATGTTATGTGCAACAATACGTTACACGTACATTGATAAACTTACGGTTTACATGT